GTCTCCTTCTGTCTCCTAGGCTGGAGTGCAGTGGTATGCTCACAACCACCACAGCCACGACCTGCTGGGCTCAGGCAGTCCTTCCACCTCAGCCTTCCACGTAGTTAGAACTACAGGCACACGCCACCACATTCAGCTAATTTTTAAATTTATCATAGAGACACTTTCTCACCAAGTTGCCAAGGCTGGTCTTGAACCCCTGGATTCAGGTAGTCTTCTCACCTCTGCCTCCCAAAGTGCTGGGATTACAGACATGAGTCACCATACCCGGTGGTAATATTTTTTTTCCCCTTGGGGAAGCCTCAGATCTGCTCTTATGACCTTTCAACTGATTTAATCAGGCATCTCCAGATTGTCAAGGATAATTCCCCTTCCTTAAAAATTAACTGATTATAGACTTTAATCACATCCATAAAATACCTTTCCAGCTACATCTAGATTAATTAAGAACTTGGGACTGTAGCCCAACCAAGGTGACACATAAAATTGAGCATCACATCTGTGAATGTATTCAAATAATGTGAGAGGGAAGATGTGGATTCCATAGGACTCCCCCATGATGTAATGACCCTTGAGACTAGAGTGATGGGACATGAATTTGTTACACTATTCTGTGTACTTTGTTATGCTCACAGTTTTCTGCAATAGTTTTAAAATATACTTTCAAAGACACTCAGGGACAGCCATCATGGCACATGCCTGTAATCCCAGCACTTTGGGAGGCTGAAGCAGGAGGAACACTTGTGCCCAGGAGTTCAAGACCAGCCTGGGCAACATAGCAAGTCTCCTTCTCTACAGAAAACCAAAATATTTAGCCAAGCATGGTGGTGCACTCCTATAGTCCCAGCTACTCGTGAACTGAGGCAAGAGGATCACTTAAGCCCAAGAGTTCAAAGCTGTGGTGAGACATGATCAGGCCTTTGTACTTCAGCCCGGGTGACAGAGCAAGACCCTGACTCAAAAACAAAACAAAAAAAAGACTCAGAATCTCACTGCTTTATATTTGATATTTTTCTTTCTCTGTGTTTTGACACATTTTTACATAGCTAAAATCATGCTAGAATTATAATTTTATATTTTACTTATTTCATAGCACTATGTTATTAGCACTTTCAGATCTCATTAAAAACTATTTCTGGTTGGGCATGGTGACTCATGCCTATAAACCCAGCACTTTGGGAGGCCGCAGTGAGAAGATTACCTAAGTCCACGAGTTCAAGACCAGCTT